TCCACCAGTTCAGGCCATCGCCCGTTGTCCTAGTGTTGTTTTTCTGAACTTTCTGCCCGTACCTCAGAGGACCCCTATCTGAAATGGATCTCTTATCCAGTGTGAACTTTTTTTCCAGAGCTGGGGAATGAGCCTAGGCCCTTGGACATGCTAGGAAAATAACATCCCCCTGAGCTACACTCTCAGCCCTACAACCGTGAGCTTTGAACTCACTACCAAATAGCATGCACCAACAGTGCTTAATGCAACCTCCTACATCAAATAGGTGCTCAAAAAATATGATGTATGCCGTTGTCACTAAGGGCCTTTTCCAGCCTTGTGGAGATAGTTATACATTCTAATGGTAAATGTGACTAATTTATTTCATGTTTCACATGCTACACTAAAGCCTTTATGTAGACAGACTCAATGCCTTTATTGACTTTTATTTGTTAGTGAATTAAGTTCACAAAAAGATAATAAATTGAAAAATATATGTAATAACCAGTCAGTGTTTGCTTAACTTTATAGATTATGACTGGCCTAATTATAAAAGACATTTGAGGAATGTGGATTACTTTACAATTTTGGCAGCTTCAGGGAAATTATAACATAGCCAAGGTGTGTACCTAGCCTTCGACCTTGTCTGCCCACCTCCTGCCTCACCTTCTGGCACTCTTTTTCAGCTTGCTTCACAATAGCCTGTCTCTTCCCTGGCATGAAAGAATCAGGCAGGGTTCTGGGTGCTTCTTTTGCATCAAGTGGTATGCTGGGCTCTGGCATCCAGCAGGTCCCATGAGCAGAGAGACAGCCCAGCACTGAGTGGGAGCGGAAGGGAAGTCATAGACATGGAAATCAGAGAAGGTTTCTCTAGGAAGTAGTATCTGACCTCATCCATGTGCTGCACATGGGCCAACTGGGGAAAATGTGTGGAAAGAGCATTTTGGATCAAAGGAGCAGTATAGGATGCCTGAGGGAAGTGCTTAGCATCTTCTAGAAACAGGGTGGGGAGCTGGGGACCTGGCAATTGGTGAATGAGGGTACAGGATGCACTTAGAGAGGTCGAGTTTTGCAGCCAGGCCGTGGAGTCTGTACTTGACTCTGGGTACAGTGGAGGCACCAGATGACTTAAGCACAGTGATCTGAATTATCTTTTGGAAGCACACACGGGGTGCTGTGTAATCACTGGGGCACAGAAAGGCTAAAGTGGGAGTGGAAGGGGGGCAGTTCTGACAGGGTCCTGGTGGGAGAAGACGGAGGCTTGCAGCAGGGTGGCAGCAAGGCAAGAAGAGAGAAGCCGTGCCGATCTCACCATGGCACGTTTTGTCACCCCAAGCCCTTCTCATTTGTCATTAGCATTCAACCCGAGTGGATAAAAGACATGTATGACAAGTGGAATGGTGAGACCAGTGTCCTGTGGCCCAGCGCTGGGGACGGTGCTCTGAGTGAGGCTTTCTGCCGCCCTGGCCCAGGGACACATCTGGGTTAGGAGTCTATTTTGTGCTCTTACAACCTCATACCATGCAAGCACTGACCCCCACAAAGATGGCTTTTGTCTGCCAGAGGTAAGGGAGGACATTGCTGTCCCAGGAGGTGCACATGCTCACTCACAGATTTTCTTTCTCGTGTTCTCAAGGCTTGATGGACTTCTTTTATAAAGCAATGGTTTCGATGCTCCCTGATGTTAAATCAAGCTGGGCGTGGTGATGCACGCCTGGGATCCCTGAACTCTGAGAAGCTGAGGCCGAAGGGCCACACATTCAAGCCCCCTGTAGGCAGTTCAGTGACTTCGTGAAACCCTTACTCAAAATTGAAAAATCAAGTAAAGTAAAGGATTTGGGAGCTCAGTGCAAAGGTGCAGGATTTAATCCCCAGTACTGACATGATTAATTAATTAATTAATTAAAAGAAGATCACAAAGATCAAATGTGGAAATAACATTTGCTCTCGAGTGATGTAATTTTTTCCCATGGAGCAGTCACACTCGGCTATCAGAATGCTCCCTAGTGGGCAGAAGCGGACCCAGGTGCCGTGGGCTGACCGCTACAGGCAGTGGCTGGTAGAGATTACTTCGTGTGTATTGAGCTCCCATGGTGGATGTTGTTTCCTCATCCCTAATAAGTATTTTCTTCTCTCTCTCCCCCACCTTGTGGATTATAGGTTCTCTCAGTCCTCAGTGTGACAACTCTGGACGGTGCAGCTGTAAGCCAGGTGTGACAGGAGACAGGTGTGACCGATGTATGCCAGGCTTCCACACGCTCGCCAATGCTGGGTGCACCCAGGACCAGAGACACCTGTGAGCACTCAGACCCTCCCCCCCCCCCCCCGCTGCAGTTGCTGATGGGGACAATGACAATTCCATGAACAATGGTAATCCCTCTCCTTTACCAAGCACTGGTCGTGTGCCAAGCGCTGCTTCGAGTACTTGTGGGTCGTTTAATTTAAACCTCACACTAACCCTAAGGGATGGGATTGTTATTATAGTCATTTAAAAGATGAGAAGCTGTATCCCTCTGACTAGTCCTGAATACATGTTTTTTTTAAATTTTATTTATTTGTGTGTGTGTGTGTGTGTGTGTGTGGCCAGCTCAGCCCACCAGGGGGCGCGGCTGACTGGCATGTGGTGCTGGGGGATTGAACCGTGATCCCTGTGCTTTGCTAAGCTTGTTCTAAGTAGGTGCTTTAGACCACTGAGCCATCTCACCAGCCCCTGAATACATTTTAAAATTAAGGGAATATTAATTCCCTCCCCACATGCAGCCCCTTAAATGGTGTTCTCTAAAATTGAGTGACTCTCAGCTGTGAATTCATGGAAAGGAAAAGGGTGACTTTTCTTCTCTTTCTTATAATACCACATGGCCACCATATTTGGTAGACTCTGGGGGAAAAAGAAAGCGTAACCATGAGCCTGGCTCAGTAACATTGGCCTCCCTGCTGTCCATATTTCAGCCCCTCACCCAGACAGGCACTGCCCCTGACCAGACTTGCACTGTCCTGGTCTTGTATTCTTTTGAGACCTTGGATGTGCTAGGCAAGTGCTGTTCCCTTGAGTTACACCCCCAGCAACTCTTCTTTGAACCATTTTAAAATGCAAAGTCGACCATACCACATTGCTCCATGGTGCCTCCTCCCACCCAGAACGAGACAGATGGGGGAACTTCTTATGGAGGCCTTTGGGACCCTGCAGGGTGCTCCTGTCCTCCAGACACAGTTCTGCTCCATTTCTCATCATTCTTCTGGCTCCCTGCTCCAACCACAGTGGCCTTCCTGTCCTTCAGAGAAGCCACGCATGAGTGGCCTTGGCCCACCCGGAACACACTTCCTGGCCCAAGGCCATGCGGCACTTTGCCACTGTCACCTGAGACACAAGGGTGGCGAGAGGGGCGAGTTCTACTTCTTCCAGTATCCTTGGTTCTTAGCCCGCAGTAGATGCTGAGTACACACTTGTTGACAGGCTCAGATACGTGTATGGAGCGCGCGGAGACAGGGAGGAGACCATGGAGATTGGAAAGGAATCCTGGCCTCCACTGTGAGCCTGACGGGTCTGACTAGATGGGGAATGTGCAGGAGGCTCCAGGGTTGAGCAGAATTTGGAGGGAGACAGAGTAAGGAAAGGAAGTCAGTCAGGGGAAGGCAACAAAGCTTCATTTTAGACAGGTGAGGTAATTACGTAACTGCGGCCATAACGAGGGGCAGAGATTGGTGCTGGTCAGGAGACAGGGAAATGGTGACAGAATCACACGAAAGCACTGTGACTTCCACTAGGCCTTGCTAGGGAAACAAAATGAAGCCACTCAAATTCAGCAGTCCCTCTCTGGGACACATGTACAAGAGAAGGGGACATGTATCCCCCTGCACAACTTATATGCAAGTGCTCATGCGAGCCTTGTTCATAATACAGGTAAAAAGTGAAAACAGCTGAAATTGTGATGATCTGGGGAATGGATAAATAAAATAAATATATTCATAGAATGGAATTTTATTTGGTCCTCATAATATATGCTCTGGCACATGACACAACAGAGATGAGCCTTGAAAGGACTATGCTGAATGAGATGAGCCAATTGCAACAGACCACAGATGCTAGGATTTCACTGGTAGGCAATGTCCAGGACAGGGACAGTTAAGACAGCACGTAGGTGTGCAGCCGCACAGGGCCAGGCACGGGATCCGAGGGAGAAGCGGGGGCGGAAGGGGACTACTGAAAAATATGAGACAAAAGAGTGCAAAAATTGATATTAGTAGTAATGGTTGGTATAACTCCAACTGAAGAAAAGCCAGTGACGTGTTTCCTTTATGTGAGTGAATGCCGTAGCTTATGAATTATATTTCAGTAGCGATGTCTCTAAAAGAAAGAACTGAACAAACTGCAGCAGCAGGTGGTTGTGATCTACTATAACAAAAGTAGACATCAATGCAGAAACAAACAAATTTTTTTAAAAAAATTAACCAAACAATTGACCAGACTAAGCCAAACAGTTTAATAATGAACTTAGTTTGCTTCTGGCCCGAAGCTCCTGTTAGGGCTGGGTGGCAAACAGTTCATGGACTGGCTGCTGCCCACGGGCCACTTGGCAAGTGGCATTGGCACAGACACTGCGTACTGAAGGGTGTGGAGAGATCAGTGTCACTAGGCAAAGCCACACGAGGAAGGCCTTGTTCAGCTTGGTGATGCTTGCTTATGAGCAGTCAGTCTGTGTGTACTGTTGTGGGGCATTTGGAAATTGATTCCTGAGTTTCTTTTTTTGTCTTTCCCAGAGACTTCAAGTGTGATTGCGATCCATCTGGCATTGCGGGTCCCTGTGACTCTGGCCACTGTGTCTGCAAACCAGCTGTCACCGGAGCACGCTGTGACAGGCACGTGAGCTGCATCCCTACAGACAGATGGCAGAGAGGGCCTGGCCACCAATATAAGGAACAGTCCTCCTGGTGCAATTGAGGAAAGAGACCCGGAGCATGTGGCCAAGGCCCTTCTTCCTGCTCTCTGTTTTTAAAAAACTGAGCTTTAAAACATATGACCGAGCCCCCAAACTCCTTACACTTCATTCTGTGGGCTCCTTCCCTTTTGTTTTTACTATGACAGAGGCTATAGGCCCCAGAGAGTCCCCTTGCCAGCTGGCTCTGGATCGCAGGTGCTCAGAAACAGGGTGGTATGCAGTAATGAGATCACGTGACTCAGACTGATCTTAGGAAACGCCTGGCCTAATTAAACATGTTGGGAAGCTCCATGTAAGAGGGAGTATCGCCGCGTATGGCCATATATAACCATCGCACATTGAAAGGCAGCTGCCCCAGGGATGGGATGGTGGTGACATGCATACACATGATCTGGGGCATGATGGAGGAGCCCTTTGGGCCCGAGGTATGTGGAGGCTGGTGGAGCAGCAAGAAGCTACCCACCCCCAGTTGTCACTATAGGACAGTCCTTAAAGACAAGCTGTGTTTGGGCTACATTGTTTGCTGCTGAGGTCGCTGTGAGCAGAGGGGCTGTGAGTGGGATCCAGAGGTAAAAGCTTTCTCCCCATTTCCTTAAAAGTAAGAAAGCAGTTCTTTGGCACCCTGCCAACCCTACTACCTGGGCGGAGGAAATGCCAAGTATGTTTCTACCTTGTGTTTTTAGGGAGTTTTTCACTGCAGGGGTAAGGGGATGGAGACCTGGCCACTTTTTAAAAGCCCATAACATTTTAAAATATGAAATAGAACACTACATAGGACAAATTTGATCATTATCAATAAATAGTAGACCTCTACTTCTTACCTCTAATTCTTGCCACCCCAGTGACATCCAGGATCCCTAGAAGTGACCATGATTCTTGATTTTATGGTAATTAATCTCTTCCCTGCTTTTATTCATAATTTGTTATCCTAGTAGAGTAATGGCAAACCTTGCAGAGTTTTCAATGATCCACATAGCCCGCCGCTGCTGTCCCAGTGCATTCTGAAATGCTGCCATCTAGTTTTTGCTTCGTTCTTTCCTATGTTTTATCCTTTCCTCCCTGCTCCATCCCCTCATCCTTATTTCCCTTCCTCCTTTCCTTGATTTTAAATCTCTTTTCATTTGTACGTTTCCTCTCCATAGAACCATAGTGTATTTTTTTGGACCCATGTTCTTAGAGGGAAAAAAAAATCCAATGCTTTTAGCCTGCTTTTCTGTGCCACTGTGAAATGTACATGTCCAACATTTGGTGGTCCAGTGGCTTAGACAGCAGGATTTGGAGGCAGAAATACATGAGTGTGAATCTTTCCTTAGCACTAGGCAATGTAACCAGACACATTTCTGAAGCTCACTGGTCTCCTTATCTAGGAAAACTGGAAATAGGCAGTTCCCATCTCATGGATTGTAGGGAGGATTAAATAAGAGTGTACGTGTGCCTGGCACAACATAAATGCTAAGTAATTGATCATCAGAACTACATTATGTCATGTGCAAAGAGGTAGTTACTTTGAGCAGAGGTAAAACCAGTCTTCCCCAGCTATTGTTATTTATTTATTTATTTATTTATTTATTTATTTATTTGGTACAGCGTCTCACCATGCAGCTTGGACTTGTAGTGATTCTCCTGTCTCAGCCTCCCCAGTGCTGGGATTACAGGCCTGTGCACCACCATGCCTGGTTTCAGGGCCTGCACAGCATGCCTGGGATTCCAGGGCTAGCAAGGCATGTGGTACTGGGGATCAAACCCGGGGCCTGGTGCTTACCAAGCAGGCACTTAGACCTCTGAGCTAAGTGTGAAATGGCCACCTCCCTTCTCAGGAAATTAGCAAGGCTGAGTGGGAGAGAGAAGAAGAGGCTGAGCCAGTCATTGTTCTTTCTTATGGCAGAAGGAATAACCAGTAGTATTATCTGGATCTCTAAAACATTGCTGCAGGTGTCGACCAGGTTACTATCATCTGGACGCAGGAAATCCCGAGGGCTGTACCCAGTGCTTTTGCTATGGTCACTCTGCCAGCTGCCGCAGCTCCACAGAGTACAGCGTGCATAAGATCACCTCCACCTTCCAGCGAGGTACTCAATTCTGTCCTCTAGGGTTGTGCTTTTAGCGTGTACAGGGATGAGCTCATACTTAGAATCACCTCCCCATCTGCAGGATACAATGCCAGTCATCTTTAACAATTCTTTTCTAGTATTTTTTTTTCTTGAAAGTAATCTTTTTAAAAAGTTAGTACACATTTGTAGTATATAGTGTTACATTCCTCCTGGGGAATTGGAACATGTGCACAATGCACCTCAATTCCTTTTCCCTTTCCATCTTCCTTCCCATGCCTTCCATCTCTTGAAACCCTGATGTCTTGAAAATGTTATAGCTGACCAGTTGATTTTTTTAAATAACTGAAAAGAGGTTAGCTTTTTATTTCTGTGTTTCATTCCTGAGTCTCTTTCGAAAAATACAAAAGAAAGAGCTTGCTTAGCTTGTGTGAGGCTGTGGGATCAATCCCAGTAGTAGAAGAAAACAAAACAAAATAGCAAAAAACATAAAGACATAAAAAAACTGAAGCTATAAAGATCTAGGGGCAGTGACACACACCTGTAATCCTAGCTTCCTGGGAAGCTGAATCAGAAGGATCACAAGTTCAAGCCCAGCCTGGACAACTTAGCAAGATCCTCTCTCAAAATCAAATTTTAAATAAGGATGGGTAGACACAGCATGCCCAAGGCTCCAGCTTACTTCTCAGTATTGCAAGAAACAAAGAAAAGGAATTTTATTTGAAAATAAAAAAGAAGGATTCTTTTGGGTTGGGGGTTTATGAGAGTTCCCCTGGGCTCCACATCCACCAGTAACACTGCTTTTACCCCTATGAAATGAGTTAATGTACCAGAAATTAGTTACCAAGCTACAGAGCAATCTAAAAATATTGGGAATTGGTCTTATTTCCATTAATCTGAATTTCTGTTTGAATACAGTGGGGTCATTCACCTCCTTAAGGTTGGCCTCGTTTGTGTAAATACAATAAAAACCTGAATGCGAGCAGATGAAAACGTGCTCCCCTATCACGAGAGTCAGATGCAAAGATGGGCAGTGAAAGCAGCTGTGGGTGGGGAGCAGGGGCTCTGAGACCTAAGTAGTGAAGCACGTGGGGGATTGTGCACACTGCAAAGGAATGCACAAACACAGAAAGCCCCCTCTCCTCACTGCTGGGCCTGTTTGGCACACAAGGCTGCCCTTGTTTAGATCTATAGCTCATGAAGGTTTGTTTCTGCTGCAGTGGTTTTGTCTGTGTTCCAGATGTCGATGGCTGGAAGGCTGTCCAAAGAAATGGATCTTCTGCAAAACTCTACTGGTCGCAACGTCACCAGGATGTGTACACCTCAGCCCGAAGAGACCCTGTCTTTTTTGTGGCTCCTGGTACGTGAGGGATGACCTTTCTTATAGAAGTCATTTTATAGGATTAGGAAATCAGGATAGAAAAACTGAGTTAGGAAATGTGAACTCCGCATACCTTGGTGCTCTGAACAGCGGTCTCCCCAGGAGTCAGCTGGGGTTACTGCAATGTGGCTCTCCAGGACAGAAGGGAATTCCTGGAGGTCAGACCCCAGCTGGGTTCCTACTTCAATTAAATAGGAAGTTGCTAGGTTTCAACTGAGGTAAGAAATCAAAAGCTACAGTGAATTATGTGGATCTGCTGAGAAGCAGATGGACAAGCAAAAGCAAAATATTCTCAAAGTTTGAAGCATTTATGAGTAATGTTTGTACATATCAGTGATATGTGCCTATGTAGAACTCTAGCTAGACTTCTAATCCTAGTTGATATCCTTAGCTAGCAAAAGATTCCTAGCAAGTTGTTCTTTTAACCTCTCTGCACTTCAGATATCTCTTCAATTAAATGGGAATGGGAAAGCCAACCTTCAAGAATCATTGCCATCAAATGTGATGGTATTTGTGAAAGCATTCTGATTATCTACCAGTCACAAGGTCCATGCTAGGCCAGGGAGATCACAGCTCAGTAGAATAAGCACTTGAGGTCCTGAGTTCAATCCCTGATACCACAAAAACAAAACAAAACAGAACACTAAATTGCAAAACTTCAAAGACAACAATATGCAATGTATTAATTATTGTAACTGTCCTACTAACCTGTTTTGAAAGTGTCTCATTGCTGTTTCTTTCTCAGTAAAATTAATTTTTTAAAAAGGGCCATGCTATGGCCCATCTAGCAGAAGGATCTGTGTTACAGTGAGACCAATTCAGCATTTCAGTCACTATCCCTGCTTCAAAGCCAGAACAGTGCAGCTCTGTTCAGTGCTGTGTGCCAGTGCTCCTCTGCTACGGTGGCTTGGGGCAAGACGGTGGGCGCATAATGTAAGATTCCAATCTAAACAACCCACACGGATGCAGCCTTGCATGTGTTTGTCTTCCCAGCTACACAAGTGATCTTTATTTATTTATTTATTATTATTTTTTGCAGTACTGGGGATTCAACTCAGGACCTTGCCCTTGTTAGGCAATCACTTATTCTACTGAGCTATCTCCCCAGCCCCACAAGTGATCTTTTTAACAATTCTGTTCCACAGCCAAATTCCTTGGGAATCAGCAGGTGAGCTACGGACAAAGCCTGTCTTTTGACTACCGTGTGGACAGGGGAGGCAGACACTCATCCGCTCATGATGTGATCCTGGAAGGAGCTGGTCTGCAGATCACAGCTCCCTTGATTCCACGTGGGAAGATACTGCCCTGTGGAATCACCAAGACTTACACCTTCAGGTAAAAAGAGAGAGCCCAAGTGGGACAAACAGAACAAAATGTGAAGCCCAAGTCTTTTGTTCATTTGCTAGCTGTGGTTCATCCATTCAGTGAGCTTCTCTGAGGATCTTCTACCTGCTGGGCATGGTGTGATGTGCTGAAACAGGCTACTGCTCCTTTTGTCAGCAGCTGACAGGCTAGTGAGAGAGCAAATACACAGATGATGGCAGTGCCAATCATCCGGTGGTAGATGGAGGTGGACACAGGTGTTTTGGACACCATTGACCTGCATTTGGGTGCTTGAGGGAAGCTTCCTAAGTGGACACCACAAGTGTGTAGAGCAGTTTGTAAGAAAAGAAAAGGGAACAAAGTTAGTGAGGTAGAGGAAATTTCATGTTGAGTTTGTGCAAGTTGAAGAAACCCCAAGTAGCTGAGCATGAGTGAAGCGGAAAGTGGGGAGGGGGAATAGAGTAAGAGGTGAGCTCAAGGATGGCCTTGTGTATATCTTTAGAGACAGACTGCTCTTACGTACTGGGAATTTTGAATGGTGTGTTCAGAGAGGCCAGGGAAGGGATATGGACCTACTGAGTGTTGAGTATTGCATTGGAGATTAAGAAAGGAAAGATGGTATTTGTTCTTTAAGAGCTCATGGTCTAGTAGGATATATATCACATACAAAACAAGCAGGACAGAACACGATAACTGTATTATGGTAGAACATGTGCATGGGGTCCTGTAAAGAGTCTAATCTGCCTAGAGGAGTCAAGGAAAGTTTTCAAGAGATGGGAAGGCAAAGCATGGGCTGAGAACAAACAGATGCAAATCCAGGAGGAAAGATCAGAGGACCCTCTCCACATTTGAATTTATGAGGACATGTGAGAAGGCACACCATAGATGAGAACCTATATTTATGGCTGGACCACAGCATATAAAGAGGAGATGGGTAGATGAGATTGAAGAGACTGGACAAGGACAGTATCCTTGTTCATGACACCAACATGCTTAGACCTTGTCCGTGACAGAAAGGTGATGAAAAGACACTGAGAGATTCTAAATTGAGCAGTGTTGTGGTCAGCAGTGACAGCTGGGTACAGCCATTGGAGAATGACAATTGGAGGATTGTCAAGTGCCTGGCCTGGACCACTGGAAGATGTAGGCTTGTTCTTGGAAGAATTTTTCAGTAAGAAACAAAACAAGGTTTAAAAGAACAGCGCAAGGACTAGTGATATCATGCCATAGTGAGGTCCTTTGAGAATTAGTAGATGTGGACAGTGGAGAAGATAAAAACTGATTTTTGCAAAGTGAAATGTTGTCAAGGGGCCTGGGATATCACTCAGCAGCACAAGTACCTGCCTGGTAAACACCAAGGTCCCGAGTTCAATCCCTAATACTGCAAAAACAAAACGAAAACAAAACCAAAAAAAAAAGCAAAATGTGCTCAAATAATGAATCATCTCAAAGCCAAAACCCAAATGAATGGTAGCTCTTGAGGATCTGCAGTTCTGGATCTTGAAGATGTTTCCAACATTAGATTTTGCATGGCTGGGGCTCCAATATGGTGTCTAAGGACCTGGGGCCAACATTTCTTCCAGCGGCACGATTCCTAGAGCTAGCCTTTCCACCATGGCACACCCTCCATGAATTCTGTGGGCTTTAGCCTTTCCTATGAGGAGAAAGCTTCATATCTGTGCCTCTGAGGAGGAAGCTACTGGCCTTTCATGCCCTTCTAGTAGGCTAGCCGGGAGGCTTAGCTGTTCCTACATATACAAGTATAATTTGTGTCATGTAGTAACCTTATCTGGGTTGGGTTTTAATTTTTTTTTTTAATTTTAAATTGTACAGGTTAAATGAACATCCAAGCAGTAACTGGAGCCCCCAGCTGAGTTATTTTGAGTATCGAAGGTTACTGAGGAACCTCACAGCCGTCCGGATCCGAGCTACATACGGAGAGTACAGTAAGGGACTAGCAGCACAAAGTTCTCCTCTTGGGCTTTAGTTTAATTTGCTTCATCTATCTCAGGTGGTGGCAGCCTCCAAACAAATAGAAAAAGTAGTTGATTGATTTTTCTTTAAAGTCTAGTTGAGTTTAAATTATTGCATTCCAGATGTTTCTAAAAAGAAATGTTTGAGGGGCCGGGGAGATGGCTCAATGGAATAAGCACTTCCTTGGCAAGTGCAAGGGCCTGAGTTCAATCCCTGGTTTCCCCCTCAAAAAAAAAAGCTTGTGCCAAATAAATAGATTTTTAAAAATAAATGTTTGTCATTGTTCATCAATGAACAATAACAATAAATGATACTATCTTACTTAAAAGAGTCTCTGAATTTCTACTGAAGTTGATTATTTGAAGGAAATAATCTACAAAACATTTTCCTTAGCCTGGAAATGGCCTCTACAACATGGCCTTGTCTATTCCCTGAATGGCTTTTCCTTTTGGATTTGTACTTAATGATTCATGTTTGAACATCATCACGTATCTCTTATTTCCCTTTTTTGAACTTTGCATGTTGGGGGTTTTGTTTATTTGATTTTACCACTAGGCATTGAGTTCGGGGCCTCCCCATTGAGCTACATACCCCACCCTTTGGCTGGGTGTGAACTTGCCCCCTTTCTGCCTCCACTTCTTTTAATTCCAATTGGAATTACTAAAAAGAGAGTTTCTTAAGATTTTTAGCATTCATAGCATTTCCATTAGAAAAGGTGTTTATTAGCACAGTGTGCTCAGTGCATTATAATATGCATTGTACTGATTAATTTTCACAAATATAGGAGAGAAATACCAGTGTTCTCTTCTACAGTTGAGGAAAAGCATTCATGAAGAGATTAAGGGGTTTGCTCAATTCCCACAGCTCAGGAGGATGGAGCCAGGAATGTACTGCTGATTTTCCTGACTCCAGAGTATGTGTGTTCAGGCCCTGTGCTAGCCCGTGAGCTGTGCCCCTCCACAGGCCCGATGTGTGGATACCGCCTGGCAGGGAGTTAACAAAAATCAACTCTAAAGACTGGCCTGATCACAGATCTTTAGGTCTTACTGCTTGCTCCCTCTGACCTGTTCTGTCTCATGCAGGTACTGGGTACATTGACAATGTGACCCTGATTTCAGCCCGTCCCGTCTCTGGCGCCCCAGCACCCTGGGTTGAACACTGTATGTGTCCTGCTGGGTACAAGGGGCAGTTCTGCCAGGATTGTGCTTCCGGCTACAAAAGAGATTCAGCAAGACTGGGGCCTTTCGGCACCTGCATTCCATGTAACTGCCAAGGGGGCGGGGCCTGTGATCCCGACACAGGTAAGTGAAGTGACACCTGGACCAGGTGGCTGCGGGCAGGCAGGGGACTTGGGTCACATGCGGAAAGGGAGATTTGAGTAAGAAATATTATGCTTGAACTAATTTCCTAGATGGGAAGGGATTAGGGAGAGTAGGGCTGGAGTGAGGGAAGGTGGACACGGTGCCCTGTTACACTCAATCCTTCTCATTATGGAACTGCCACAAGGTTGTGAGAAAGGAGTCGGGTTGCAGGAAATGACTGTCATGGTTCAGCGGTTCAGCGCAAGGGGCTAGTGGGGGTCAGAGTCAAGTTACAAGATTTCTTTGGGGTGATCAAAGGCAAGTCAGGGTTTGAAATGAATGGGCCAACAAATGGTGTCTGGCCACAGAGGACGGGAGTTGGGAGCTGGTGCCTACTTCACAGAAGAATGGGGGTGAGACTGAGCATCTCGGTAGGCTTCCTACTGCTAGAAAGGCAGGGATGAAAGTGCTCAGGTTGGAGAAGGCTTCAGAAAGGAAAGCTTGCGCTTTCCACACTCTGGCTCCCATGCCACCGCATTGATGCAGGTGTGTCGTCTGGTCCTGCTCATTTCTCTGCCCTCTGTTCCCCTCTGGCTCCCAGGAGACTGTTATTCAGGGGATGAAAATCCCGACATCGAGTGTGCGGACTGTCCCATTGGTTTCTACAACGATCCACAGGATCCCCGCAGCTGCAAGCCATGCCCCTGTCACAATGGGTTTAGCTGCTCTGTGATGCCGGAGACAGAGGAGGTGGTGTGCAACAACTGCCCCACTGGGGTCACTGGTAAGGCCAGGAACCTGCTTCTTCCTGTCTGGAGGAAGAATTCGTGTTGATAGCTCTCATCCAAGGGATTTCTAGGAAGTTAAAATTACTTCGGGTTAATAGAAATGCACTCATGTGGATGGAGCAAGAGGGAGTGTGCGGTGTGAGAAGAAACACCTAACACAGTTGTGGAAGGTTTACAGTTAGGAGGTGAAGTTTTCTGATCACATATACGGCTTAATTTGCTCTCTAATGACTCAAGGGAAAGAAGGAAAATGCAGTGACCTCTTAGATGTCACATCCCTCTGCCTGTCAGCCTGGAAGAATTCCTTCTTCAGTAGCAGCCTGTCGCTCAAAATCTCACCACTTCTGTGTTGCTTTGGCTGTTTTCCCAACCAGCTAAGCAAGCCTCCCAGTGGTGTGCTGTGCTCTAAAATCTGCAGTGACTGTGGGGTTGCAGCACTGTCTTACTCTTTTCTCATTGCTGGGACAAATACCCAACATGCAAAATGAAGGAAGGAAAGGTTTATTTAGCTCACAGTTACTGGAGGTTTCAGTCCATATTCAGCTGGGTCCAAGGCAGAGCAGCACATGGCAGGGGGCAACCTTGCAAGGAGGAGGCAGAGAGCAAGAGCCCAGGGAGGAGGAGTAGCAGCTCAAGCAGCTAGCTGCTCTCTCCTCCTTACATTGTAATGCAGATTACCTGCCCCAGGGCAGGTCAGCATCCACACCCACAGTAATCAATCACAAACTCCAGAAGCTGCCCCAGGACTACATGAAGCTTTAGGGGGACACCTATACACAAACCTTAACAGGCACCAACCTCTGCTGTGTTCACTTGCTCCTGAAAGTATTGTCTTGGGGTCCTGGGGGAAGTGCATTTCCCTGACTCTTCTGTGGGACATCTGGCTATTTTAGGCCTGTGTCTGGTCTTGCTGCCAGCGACAACTGGGCCGTTTGTGTGTCTGTTTCTTCCCAGGTGCACGCTGTGAGCTCTGTGCTGATGGCTACTTTGGGGACCCCTTTGGGGAACGTGGCCCAGTGAGGCCTTGTCAGCCCTGCCAATGCAACAACAACGTGGACCCCAGTGCCTCTGGGAACTGCGACCCGCTGACAGGCAGGTGTTTGAAGTGCATCCACAACACGGCTGGCCTCAACTGTGACCAGTGCAAAGCAGGCTACTTTGGAGACCCACTGGCTCCTAATCCAGCCGACAAGTGTCGAGGTAGGAGTGCACGCCAGACAAAGTGTGTTAGCCTGTGTTTGTGCATACACAAGCTTGCTAGTGTGGACACATGTTAGCAAAGGTAAGGCAGAAGTTAATATGACACAACTTTAGTTCTCTAGCTATGAACAGTCTGCACCGTTCGCCTGTCAGAGACCTTACTGCAGTTTCCCCTGCACAGGGCTCTAGAACACAGGGCTAGAGGCTTTCAAATGGTAAAAGCTGGTGGGAGAAGTGAAAAGGTCAGGTTTACATTTCTAAGTGGAAGAGGAGATAAAATGGAGTGAGCTCCCATGCCCACTCCCCAGGTAGGCAGGCAGGCAGACAGGCAGGCAGGCAGGAAAGTGGGCGCCAGAGCTGTTGTAGGAGAGTAATAAATGACTCCAGACTAAGGCTGAGCAAACTGAACCAGTGGGGGGAGGTGGCTGTAAGAAAGTTCAAGAGACCCTCTCAGGAAGTGGGTGCCATTGATCCACAGAAGGTGATGTTGAAATTTCCCCAAAGGAGACCCCACTTCAAAGCTGCAGCTATCACGGAGCCTTTCTAAGGGCTGCTTCAGATCAAAGCCTAAGAGTGCAGATCAGCCCTCAGACTTGGCGCTTTCCTTAAGACTGAGCTCAAGTCCAGTTGAATGGTGCTGGTCATGCCGGCAATTCCTCGCATGTGTGAATAATGTTTAACTCAAATGGTGGGAAAGATAAAACAAAATGGAATATATGAAAGCACACTGTAAATGTTGCATGCTTCTAGCTAGAAGGTGTCATTAGTACAGGTTTTATTGGCTTTAAACCATATATTTCTTTTCTTTATTGCCATGCTGGGGATTGAACCCAGGACCTTTGCAAAGAGCTACCACCTGAACTATTTTATGTTTTATCTTGGGAAAGAATCTCATGAAGGCCCTAAGTTGCTCAGGCTGGGCTCAAACTCCCAAATCTCCTACATTGCCTCCCAGAGGATTAGGATTATAGGTGTGTGCTGTCCTTCTTGGCGTAGGATATGTATTTCTTCATTTATCTATCTGTGAAGCAGCTGCCATGTAGACCTAGATACAAGGTTACGATAATGGACGAATCAGCTCCAGCATCCAAAGACTTACATGCTAACAAGGAAAATAGACAAACAGTATGCAAATAACGATAGTACACCTAGACACGAAATCAGAGCACAAAGGATAGAGCAATCCAGAAAATCTCTGTAATCATTGCAACAGCGTCTCACCCACTGTTACATCTTTGACTCCTAAAATAGAACGAGGCACACTTTAGGTGAACAATAAGTTTGATTGAATCAGTGATGGTGCTGCTTCTCTGTTGAGTTTCCTACATCAAAGGCAACAAAGCAGAAGGAAAACAGCTTTGCCCTTTTTCAGCTCCGATGGCAGCTTCCTGTTTATTTGCTGTAGGACATTGGGCAAATTATTCAACCTCTTTGGGCTCCCTTTCCTTATCTGTAAAACCAAGGAAGATGTTTGCATCTGGCACTTAATAGGCCAAAGATGCTGTTCACCTTGTAAGCAGAGCCAGAGTTCCAGCAGAATAGTCACCAGGCTTCTAGCTTAGTCAGAAGAAAAGAGGAGGGAGGCACTGTTGGGATAGCTTTTCATCCACATACACTAAGCAAACGGGGAGGTGAGTTCTGCAGGAGACCTGTGTTGGGAAAGTGCTGGAGGCATAGCCAGGAGACACTCTGACACAAGGTGAGTGACGGGGGCAAAGCAAGGTTTTTACGTGGACACTTGCTCTTCTTGCTTTTATTCTTGCTGTACCTCCATCCAGCCTCTGGGTTGTGATGGATATGAAGTCTCCATTTGCCTGTCTCTCCTCTCTAGCTTGCAACTGCAACCCTGTGGGTTCAGAGCCTGGCCAGTGTCGCAGAGATGGCAGCTGCATTTGCAAGCCAGGATTTGGTGGCCTTAACTGTGAGCGCAGAGCATTGGCCAACTGTCCAGCTTGCTACAATCAAGTGGATACTGAGGTAGGCCTTCCCGTCCTTACACCTCCCACCCACTCAGACTCAAGTCTGGATAATTCCATCACAGATTGAGTCCCATCCCCATCTCCTGGGGATGGGAGGTTACTGTCTCTTTTTAAAAAGTTATTGTACTAAAAAAGATTCTTTATAGCAACAGTAACATTTATCTTCCTATACTTGCCATTCTCAGACACCCTCTTGCAAGTGTCTGACTAGTAAAAACTGAGGTCAAACATTTGTTTAGTCCAGGAGGGGTCCAAGCTGCCCAAACAGGATTATGACCTCCAGAAATTTCTCCTTTATAGTCCAGAAAAGAGCAGACTTGATGTTGTTGACATTAATATTATTTTTCTGAAGTGAGGGATCAGAGATAAAAATATCCAAAATATAACTGCCAGTGCAGAATATATTCAACTTGTTTTTTAAGTTTATCTGCTTAGCATGACTTATAGCACTCCCTCGGTACTAGGCTTTATTCTAAGCACTTTATATGGACTCATGTAGTACAAGTCATAAATCTCTGAGATAGTATTATTGAGTTCATTCTTTCCACTTCATAGATAAACAAGTGTCTTGGCCACGACTCCACAGGTAGAGCAGCAGGGCCAGGATTCACACAGGCTCGAAACTTTCAGCCGCCACGATGTTATCAAGCATATCTGGACTCTCAGGTCTTATGGCCTGGGTACCTGGCCTTGGGCCGTGGTCTTCATTCTCTGTGCTATTTTTTTCTGGTTTCAGATGGCGCAGTTTAGGGAGCAGCTTCAGGACTTGGAGGCCCTGATTTCAAAGGTGCAGAGTGGCAGCGGCGCAGTACCCAGTTCAGAGCTGGAAGGCAGGCTGCGGCAGGCTGAGCAGGCCCTTCAGGACATTCTGAGAGAAGCCCAGATTTCAGAAGGTGAGCAAGGCCAGCTTCCCGTCACACAGGAGAGGGGTCGTGTCCTGGACAGAATCGCTGCGCTGCGTCCCAGAATCTTCTGTGGACATTGGCTCAGCAGACATCTCCAGAAGCTCTTGCCCAGGAGGAAGGAGTGTCTGTGACAGTCCCCTGGACTGAATGAAAGAGCACTGATGTGCCTTTATTCACATATGAGCTTTATCGTTTGCCACATGCCTGGCAACCCTGTCAGGTGAGCTAATGCTGCGCCAACCTGGAAAGTGCTCAACCTCCTTTTCCTTCTTTGTGCCAGGTGCTAGTAGATCCCTCAGTCTCCAGTTGGCCAAGGCAAGGGGCCAAGCAAACAGCTACCGGGACCGCCTGGATGACCTCAAGATGACTGTGGAAAGAGTTCGGGCCCTGGGCAGTCAGTATCAGAACCGAGTTCAGGATACTCGAAGGCTCATCGCACAGATGCGCCTGAGCCTGGCGGAAAATGAAGCTTCCCTGAGCAACTCGGTAGGGGTGATGGCAGTGCGAAGTGCTGCTGCCGTGTGCTGAGACCCTCCTGCGATTTCCCTGGCGCACTTACTGCCACTCAGGGGTTTGGTCTATCTGGCAGGAAGATGGAGTTCACTTCCTTGTGACAGTCAAACCTATTCTGTGTATCTTTGGTCTGAAATTTCCTATTTGATACTTTGTACTTTCCTCCCTGGTTTGTTTCTTTCTAGCCATGTCCTTAACTTGATTGTCTCTCTTCTGTAGGATTTAGTTTTGTTCTGTTTGCATTGTCAGCCCATAGTGGGGCCATTGTAAATTCCTGTTGCATAAATGAATGAGTGGAGAGGGGAATGAATGAATGAATGAATGAATGATTGAAAAAGGAGGAAGGGAAGAAAGGAAAGGCAGAAAGTAGGCCAATGAAGTCATATGGTAGTTCTGAAAATGGAAAAGAATTGTTGCTGGTATGATTTTCCTAATGATGTGGTTTACAGTATGATAACAGGGAGAGATTTGATTGAGTCCTTCTATTTCTGAATAGACAATAAAGGAAGTGAATAGATAGGAAATGAGGAAAGGAAATTAGAAGATTGGCAGATGATATGATAAAGAAAGCACATTAAAGTGTGTATTGATTACGAAAATGTGATTGTAGTAAATATAGAAAATTTAAAATTTTCTTTTGATACCATCAATACAAAATAACTGCTGTGAAACTTGATGTTACTGGACTTTTCCTACATATACATGTACATGTATATACACATATTTTTTCCCTCAGTAACTCAGGACCTTCACACTGAGCTATGTCTATAGTACTTTTTCTATTTTTTCTTTTGAGACAGTTTCCCTAAATCACTAAATTATCCAGGCTATGGTTCTCTCTCCATCTCGGAGATGGCTGAGATTATAAGAGTGTGCCACCATGCCACATTACACACACACACACACACACACACACACACACACACACACGTTTATACCTACTTCTTTTGAGCTTTGATTTGTACTTTGCTCTTTTCTATATCTCTTTTTTGAAATGGAGTAATCATGGTGAATAAGGACTGGTGGGGGGGGGGGACTCGAACCACACCTGCATAGTTAGGCTCCATGGCCAAGTGCAGTCTTCATCAGTTCTTCTCTTGCCACAGGACATTCCTCCCCCTGACCCGTATGTGGGACCAAATGGCTTTAAAAGTCTGGCTCAGGAGGCCATGCGGCTGGCAGACAGGTGAGCAGCATTACAAGGCACCTCTGATCCAGTCCACCTGCAAGGCAAACCTGAACGAGAATATAGTACCTTCAGGACCCTAGGACCATAGTCATCCCCACCGTGCTCATATAAGCCATCCCGTGTCCTAAAGTCACTTTTTAGCCACTTGGCTTCTAGTGGATGTCACTGGGCAGGGTCATTTGGCAGGAGTGGGGAGTAGGGGTGTTTCATCTCCAGATTTCTCTGTGACTCACAGTATGGCCTTAGTACATGTCAGATGTACTCCCTTAGGTCAGGTGAAATGAGTCAGGCTTTGGAAAAGAATATTTTACTGCTTTTAGGGACTCCTCGCTTCCCAGACCAAGCCTGGGAACAAGTAGCAACAAGTAGCTTGCTAGCCCAGAGGAGCCATATATGTGTAGAGGGGAACATCATTCTGGAAACCCACTCTGCAGTACACCAGTAGTAAATGGTTGTTCTCTTGGTCTTTTCCCAAACTATAAATCCTATCAGGTTTATGGGCTCACTTATAGCAGAGTGCTCAGCAGGATGGCAGGCTCTGTTAATCCCAGGTGGAATTCAGGCAGTGAAAGGGGATGTGTTTTTTAACAAGACCTGCCTCCTGAGCCTGTGTTTTGTTATTTTTTACAATGTCACTTCCTAGAGCCAGAAGTACAGAAGCTTATAAAGGACTTTTTAAAAACAAAACAAAACAAAAAAAACCAAAAACAAAAACAGACTTTGTCCCCATGGCTGTGGGTCTGTTTTAGAGTTGCAGTGAAAGGGAGTAGAGAGTTGGACCATCCGTGAGACAAAGCCTAGGAGTTTCTTCCTGCAGTAAACAGGATCAATGTTTTGTCACCTCAGACTGCTCCCGCTTCACTGAGTCTATCATAAAAGGCCACCACAGGTTTATGACATGAGGTTTATCCTTCAAAACACCTGCTTCTAGATGGTTCCTCTAATTTTATCCAATATGGATCAATTCTGTCAGTTTTTTAAGCCAAACCAGTTCCCTTACTCTTCTCTCTTTACTTACTTACATGAATATCCTTAAGGAAGTTCATTACTGTGGCGCATTCTAATTGTTTGTTTTTAATCCTTTCAGCCATGTTGAGTCAGCCAGTAACATGGAGCAACTGGTAAGGGAAACTGAGGATTATTCCAAACAAGCACTATTACTGGCCAGCAAGGCTGTGAGTGGAGGTGTCGGAAATGACGTCACTGACATCCATGCAATACAAGGACTTATGGGAAAGTATGTGTTAGTGGGTCTTCATTTGGGCCATAAAACCTGGATTCTCCTGGGGTATAATACAAATTATACTTTAGAGGCACCATTTTTTAAAAAATGTATACTATTCCTAATGTTAATAATTGTAGGGACAAGAGAATGAGCGTAATATTTTGGGCAAAGCAAATATCTTTAGTATTGAAAGAAGACCAGGTGATTAATCTAAGTAAAGTTTATGGCTTTGAGTGATTGCAATTCTTGGAAGGCAGTGTGTAAACAGAATGTAAGAATAGTGTGTATCATATTATCAGTAACTGGGAAGCTTGAAATGAAATTTTTTGATTTTCATTCAACTATAAGGGTTTGCTTATATTATGGAGAATCTCATATCTGACATAACTTTTGGTTCTTCTCATTATGTCAATTACATACTTTTAAAGCAGGAGGATGAGTTTTTGCTCCTGTAAAAAGAGTAAGTGAGGGCCAGGGAAATAGTTCAGTAGAATAAGCGCTTGTCTGATAAGCGCAAGGGCCTGAGTTTAAACCCCAGTTCAGCCAAAAAAAAAAAAAAAAAAAAAAAAAAAAAAAAAAAAAAAAAAAGTAAGTGCTCAAAGACCTTTGCCTTTTTAACCATCTCCCCTTTGTCCCCACAGGTTGGAGAAAACCAAGTCCCTGGCCCAGCAGTTGTCAAGGGAGGCCACGCAGACTGACACTGAAGCAGCTCAGTCCTACCAGCATAGTCTTCGCCTTCTAGATTCTGCAGCTCAGCTTCAGAGAGTCAACGATCAGTCGTTCCAGGTGTGCTCATACACAGACCAAGCACATGAACACATGAACTCATCTCTAGAGATTTCTTCATACTGTTCAGTCATTCAGCTTTTCTATGTGTTCACCCTATTAGTCACTTCATATTACTGCAATGAAATACTTGAGACGACTAATTTATCAAGAAAAAGTTTATTGAGCTTGTGTCTTTGGTAATTCTGCATTGGCTCAGTTCTGGAGAACATGGCGGATGGCAATGGTAGGGAGCCATGCCCGAACAGTTGTTCACACCTTGAACAAAAAGCAGACTGAGAGAAGAATGGCAGTGTTGCCCAGTTCTTTTTAAGGGCACACATTGACCTAAAATCCCAGTGACCCAACGACCTTCCCTTAGGATGCCCCTCCCAAAGGCTTCACCATCACCAATAGCACTTCTTCTGGGGACCAAGTCCTTAGCATACAGGAGACCCTACTCATACTCAAACCATGGTATTGGTCTTTTGCCGTAGGGTAGGAAAATGCTCATCCTTCTGGTTCTCTACTTTTTTGTTCTTAAACTCCAAGCCTAGTCTCTCCAGAGGACTTTTCATCTTCAATGTATCAATAATAGCTTAGGTAATAATCGATAGAGCTATTCCTTAGTTCTGGTGATTGTTGAAACCTGTGAGGAGCTATTACAAAGTTTGATGCATCTGTGTATACAGTCAATGAGAAGGCTTTTGCTATCAAGAGATTTAAATTGTTTTTGTCTTAATCTTCCCTTCCCTATTCCAAACTTATTAGATAAAGTAGAGTCTATTTCTATGAACTTTTACTCTGTAGGAGAAAGCATTTACTGGGCCAGGGAGATAGCTCGGTGGTCTAAGCACCTGCCTGGCAAGCACAAGGACCCGGGTTTGATTTCCGGTACCACATGCCATGCCAGCCTTGTGCTGAGCCGGCCACCAAAACTGGGCATGGTGATGCACATCTGTAATCCACTGGGAAGGCTGAGACAGGAGGATCACTATGAGTCCAAGCTGTGTAGCAAGATCCTGTGCCACATAAATAAAAGATTAAAGAACAAAACAGCAAATAAAAGAACAAAGATAAAACCTGACTGAAGCTTGGTGGACCTGTAACCTAAATTCCACTGGACCTGTTGCTTTATTTCTGTCAGGCATGGGGACTGGATAGCTAGTGACATATTTTTTTTGGCTTTTTAAGGGTATTTCCATTTTCATTCAATGATATCAAGACCTAAAAGTGGTGACCAGTGGCAGGAAGTCAGATTCATCCATATCTTTGGACCCACAGGTAGAAGCAAAGAGGATCCGACAGAAAGTTGATTCTCTCTCAAGCCTGGTGACCAGGCATACAGATGACATCAAGCAGGTGCAAAGCAATCTGGGAAACTGGGAAAAAGAGGCCCAGCAGCTCTTACAGGATGGAAAGAATGGGAGACAGGTACCGTTTTGTTAACTTGTTCACTCAACAAGCATATCTGGTTGTTCGCCATCTAGGAATATGGCCAGAAGAGCCCTCAAAAGTTCTCTGTGGGTCATGGAGCTGCTGTTCATGGAGAGAACAACTGAGACATGGCTCTCAATGTAATTAGCTCCATCTACTACTTCAGCAGTGAGGATAGACCCCAAGCCTCTTAGGTCTAATTTTGGTCTGTCAACTAGCTTGGCTTCCATGAGTTTAAAACTGATTTGCGAAACTATTTTTGTCATTGATGGCGGGTTAGCATTGAAGACTGTTCACTACAGTGGATGTTGCTCTCTGGTGAAGTCCACTCTGTCCCATGCTGTGGAGCCTTCGCTCCAGAACTCCAAGACTGAGTCACAGCACTCTGCTGTCATGAAGAGAATGTGTCAGAGTGATTTTGCTAGCAGGAATGCACTTATTCTAATCTTGTTCTGTCTATTTACAGAAATCAGGTCAGCTGCTTTTCCGTGCCAACCTTGCTAAAAGCAGAGCCCAAGAAGCACTAAGTATGGGCAATGCCACTTTTTATGACGTTGAGAACATCCTAAAGAACCTCAGAGGTCAGTGCTTCATGGTTCAGGTTACTTGAGTATTTTAAAACAACTGCTTTGCTTTGAATCTTCTCATAACTCTTTAAGTGGCAGGTATAGGGGGGTATTAATAGATGTCTAGTAAATATCTTTTTTTTGGCAGAACCAGGGATTGAATAAATATCTTTCTGAAGAAAAAAATATTTTTAATATTTGAGGTTAGAGGTAGGAAAATTAAACTAAATATCAGACAGTTTGTGTTCTCCTCTCCTTTGGGCCAGGTAAACAGCTCAGTCTTGCTGTGTGGCCCCAAGCAATTCACTTGGCCTCTCTAGACCCTAAAGCCCTCCTCTTTAAAGAGAAAAGGTTGAACTAAGAGATCTCAAGGGTCCCTTCTAGATACAGCATCTCACTTCTGTAAAGGTCTTTTTCCTTGTCCTTTGTGACCTGGTTCCTCTGGGGTGATGACACAGTAACCGTTATCATGGTATCCAGATTGCGGGAGGTTTAGGTCAAGGTTTGCAGGGATTTGGTTAAAATCTGAGTATTCTTTACTAACAAACAACAGAGACTTGGGATTTTCTTTATAAAATATTCCTCTTCTTCATTCTACCCAAACCCCCAACTCTTATCCTTGGCGGCTTCTGACTTCACGCGTTGGTCTTGAGAGATTCTATCTGCATTTATCCGCTTCGGGTTTCTGATGCTTTTATATTGGGGGGAACCAAGGGCAGGCTGATAGTCCTTTTCTCTAAGCAAAGGACTAACTTTAGCCACTCAAAGCCTCCTGTGAGGTGCTCCCTCTTAGCTAAAAAGCATAGTTCCAGTCATAGCCTCCCACACTCCTTCCTCCTCAGGTGATAATAATACTGTTCAGGAGTTTTGCATCAGTCCCTTTCACTCATTTGTGAGTTAATTTCCATTTTCATGGCAGCTATTTCTTCCCTTCATTTCAGAGTTTGACCTGCAAGTAGAAGATAAAAAAGCAGAAGCTGAAGAGGCCATGAGGAGACTCTCCCTCATCAGCCAGAAGGTCGCAGATGCCAGTGACAAGACGGAGCAAGCGGAAGGGGCCCTGGGCAGTGCCACTGCTGATGCGCAGCGGGCAAAGAGCGTAGCGAGGCAGGCGCTGGGTATCAGTGGTGAAACAGAACAGGTAAAGAGCAGTGGCAACGCAGGCTGGCTCGAGCAGCAGCAAACACAGATTAGTCTGCAAGAAGAGAAAGCGCAGCGCTCATTTGACCTCTGTGGCTCGGAGTCTTGTTGCAGCCCCAGCAGGGGCAGGCTCACAAGGCCACCCCTTCTGTTGAGTTGAGTCACAGGCCAGAGAGACTATGTGCCCGAGCACTCATTCTCAGTCACAGGAGATTGAACCAGCCAAGACCCTTTTCAAGTAGATTTCTACATTCATTTCTAGAACTTCTTAACAAATATCACAAACCAGATGGCTCAAAATGAAAGAAAATTTCCTGTCCCAGTTCTAGAGACTGGAGCTGCACTCCCTTGGGACGCTGTAAGGGAGAGTCCTGTCTTGCCTCTTCCTGTCTCCTGATAGTGGTCATCAATCCTCCATGTCCCTTGGTTTGCAGCTCTGTCACTCCCATCTCTGCCTGTGGAGCTTTCCCTGAGGGTCTCTGTTTCCTCCTATAAGGACATCAGTCATATTTCTTTCTGGGCCTCAGCCTACTCCAGTATGACCTCACCACACTTTTAATCATATCCTCAACAAACCGAAGTCCAAATAAATTATATTTGGAAGTGACAGGGTTAGGCTTTCAACAAATCTCTATAGAAGGTTACTGCTCAACCTGAACAACTGTCATCCTTGTTTTGATCCCAGATTATGAAACTGTGGTGTACTAGATCCTTTGGCCCAGTCTGTGTGCCACATCTGAGATCCATTACTCTTTTCTCTGTCTTCTGTGGAGTGCTGGCACTGTGTTTGGTGCCAGAAATATGGAGAACAGAAAGACCAATTGCTTGTCTTCAAAGAAGTTTCAGGGCAACAGCAGACAGACACACTCTACTTGCAACCCATGTGTTAAATACTACAGTGGAGGGAATGCTTCTTTGCCAGAGAAATATTTCTTTTTTTTTCTTTTTTTCTTTTTTTGGCGCAGGGATTGAACTCAGATCCTTGAGTTTGACAGTCAAGCGCTTATCCTACTGCGCCATCTCCCTGGCCCCGAAATATTTCTTGGCTCTTAATTACTCATGACTTCTAGAGACCTTATGCAACTGTAGGAAGCTCAGAGGAAACTTGTTATCTGGGCAACTTGACCTCACTTTTAGACTACTTGGTAACTCCCAAAAATGATTTCTAATTTTAAGTTCTTTGAGGAAGGAGACTAATTTGTTGTACCTCTCTTAACATAAATTCTAGAATAGACACCTGCAGTGTGATGCTTGATGATAATTTCTTGATAAGGATATGGATAAGCTTTGTCCTTATAAAAATAAAGACTCAACACTGTTGCCCATTCATTCTCTACTCTCCTAACTTGGTTGTCTTGAGGATCCTAGTAGTCACTCAAAAGACTGTGGCAGCAAAGGAACATGACAAGCAATGATGCCAGTTTCTTGTCCTCTGGGTTTTCTTAAATGATTCCTACGTGCAACATTTGGTTAGCACAGAACTGAGAGGAAAGTGGAGTCTCAGTGCCGGCCCTCCTACTCCCAAGAGACATATCCCAGAATTGACTTGTTTGAGGCAGATCTAGGGAAAGGCGTTTCCTCATGTCTGACTCTCTCACTATTCATCTAGCTTAGCCCATGAGAGCCAGGCTGCAGCTGTATTTTTTCTACAGTTATCCATTGGATGTGTTTGGGTCTCACCTCCCTCTTTTCTTTTGTCCTTGGCTTCTTTTCTTCTCCCAGGAGATAGGGAGTCTGAACTTGGAAGCCAATGTCACAGCAGATGGGGCCTTGGCCATGGAAAAGGGATTGGCCACACTAAAGAGTGAAATGAGGGAGGTGGAAGGCGTGCTGGCCAGGAAGGAGCTGGAGTTTGCTACAGACATGGATGCGATGCAGATGGTGAGTGACTGCTCCTTTCCATGAGAGAGCCCTTTAGGCTTGTTAAGAAGGAAAATAGCCTTTTTTTTTTTAACTTTTGTTTTTTGTTTTTTTTTTTTTTAAATTTTATTAAATTGTATGTATGTGTGTGTGTGTGTGTGTGTGGCCAGCTCAGCCCACCAGGGGGCGGGGCTGGCTGGCATGTGGTGCTGGGGGATTGAACTGTGGTCCCTGTGCTTTGCTAAGCTTGTTTGTTCTAAGTAGGTGCTTTAGACCACTGAGTCATCTCACCAGCCCCGAAAATAGCCTTTTGAGACAACTTTATTCTGATTTTTCTGCAGGTGATTACCGAAGCACAGAGGGTTGATTCCAGAGCCAAGAATGCAGGTGTTACAATCCAAGACACTCTCAACCTGTTGGACAGCATCCTCCACCTAATAGGTCTGTCCAGTCTCCATAACCTTCCAGCTCCTTGCTCTAAGGTTTTCCCAGAAGACTCAGTATTTCTAGCTCTGAGGCATGGCAGAGCTATTCCTCAGCTTGCCCGTAGGCTATGCAGAAATTTTCTCTTGTTTCCACACCCAGCGACCTTGTGCAGGTTACATTAGAGTTTCTGCATTCTGTTTTTCCTCCTCTAGGATGAGTCACTGAGTAACTATGGTACTTAGAGATTGAGATCTGTGGGTGAGAGAACTGAGTGTGTTCCTCCGGGAACTTCAGGGGAGACTGGACAGCTTGAATGTCCTGTGAAAGAGTCTGGCCTGTGAAGCCTGTCGGAAGTTTTAAGCAGAGGGATGACATGACCCCTGTGTATTTAGAAAGCTCATGAGGACAGCTGAGTGGGAGAAAGTTTGAAGGGGGGATTAGTCAGAAGGCATGGGAAAATCAGGACACTACTGAAAACCAAGGAGCAAGATGACAGCAGATTGCTCAGAGGCAGTGGAAGAAAGTGGAGAGGGGGAAGATGTGGAGGAAGGTCATCTGTTTGTGAGGTCAAGGACCTCTTCATGATTTTGCTGTCTGGTCCTCACAAACCAGTTATCTTTGATTAGCCCACTGGGGAGACTAGAAGACCCTGGGCAGATGACCTAGAAGAAATGTGAAGACACTAGAATCATGGACCTATGTCCATAAGAGAAGCCAAAATTTTAGGATAAAATGGCTCTGATAGCAGGAATCAGCTTTCCCCTAAAGGGTCACTCCTAGAAGAAAATTGATTTTAATGAAACCTCTTGATGCAAGTAGAGCTGATATCAAAGCCTTATCTGGCCTGTTTGATCCAGCTTGGGCTATAGATGAGGAGATAGAAGCTTGGTCACAGATTCTAGTAGTGTCGGGGAAAAGAGTGTATTTTTCTACTTCAAAGCACAACTTTACAACCTGATGTTTCTGTAGTATGTCATAATCTCCCTGAGACACCAATGTTGCCTACAGTATCATACTAATGTGTCTACTATGCGATCCAGTGAGCTCTAAAAGGTAAATACCCTCTAAGGATAAAAAAAAAATAAACCTCTCCAGGTGAGATTTTAGCAGCAATGTTTAGTATTTAAAAAATAGTCAGGGGTTCGATCCCTGGGTCCTGATCCTAGGGCAAGCTGAGACAGCAGTTGAGACTGGGCGTGGTGGCACGTGCCTGTAATCCTAGCTCTTGGGAGGTTATAAACAGGCGGATCACTACAAGTCAGATCTATTACTGAGACCCTAAACACCCTGTAGACCCTTCCCTAAAAAATACAAAACAAATAAAAAGTAAAAGACAAATAAATAAATAAATAAATAAAGGGGGCCGGAGAGATGGCTCAGTGGAATAAGTGCTTCCCTGGCAAGCGCAAAGGCCTGAGTTCAGTCCCTGGTTCCACTAAAAAACCCCAAAATTTAAATAAATAAATAAATAAAAATAAAAAATAGTAATGAAATTAATGGAAATTTTGAAGAGAAAGTGAGAAAGCAGAGAGAGAAGGCTGGTGGGAGCTATTAAACATTTGCTATGTGTTAGGTCCAATACCATCCATGTGTTTTCATGGTGTCATACTATTCAAGTCTTATAATAGGCCTAAGAAGTGGGTTTATTATTTGCATTACTTTATTTCACAGAGGAATAAACTGAAATTGTGGAGACAGGATTCCAAGCCAGTTCTCTTTGTCTTCAACATTACTGTTCTTTTCCAGTAGCTCAAGTTGTCTCCCGATGGACTTGCTTATTTTGTTCCCAAGCTTACTTAAGCTTCTCTGCATGTCATGGAATCCTAAATTCTTGAATTCTCCCCCATCCCCAGGCGAACAGCAGGTCCATCGGCTCAACATTTTTGTTATGATATTGTTTGTACTCTGTGTACTCTCTTGAGGCTTGGACAATAACTGATTAATAGTTCTAGGTATAACAAACTTGTGCACTTGAATACTTCTCTGCAGCTCAAATATGTGACCTTGAGTTTGAACTGACCAAGAGCAATTCAAATTTAATTGAACTAAACAGGATTTGGCCAGATGCCTTTCATGCTAGCCTTGGCTTTATACTGCCTATGGGCAAAACATACCTGAACCAATGTGATTCCATTTCACACTGGAAATAAACTGATACCTAGCCAGATTCCCACTGTTTTAGTCCAAAATTATGTCTTACATCATTTTCTAACAGCTGGAATCTGTCCCCCAAATAGCCAAGCCTACCTTGGCCTCTGTAAACACTGAGGCTCAGTCAGTTTCCAGAATCCTCTACTAGGATACAGCAAGTGATTTCCTAAACTGATGCAGATTACAGGGGTAAGCTGTGTGAGGCAGACACTCTGGACAGTGCCCCATCCCCTGTGAGCTCCAGCCTTCACCTTTCTAGAGCATGATCTATTGGCCTTAACCTGAAGAGTGAGCTCCCCATTTCATATTGCTGAACTCTAGATCTCTCGGGTCTTGAACTGAGTTGCTCACAGCCCAGTGATAAGGCTAGTGCTCTCCCAACTTTTCCTAAATTATTTCTAACTTAAAATGAGTCTTTAGGGGACCGGGGAGATGGCTCAGTAGAATAAGGGCTTGCCTGGCCAGCACAAGGGTCTGAGTTCAATCCCCGGTTCTGCCAAAAAAAAAATAAAAAAAAAAAAAATAATAAATAAAATGAGTCTTTATGTACATGTATCAACTTTTCATACTGAATGTGGTGATTATATACTGCAGGCATGTACTAACAAGCAGAATAAACCTTTAAAATGAATCGTATATATATTTACTTGGGGCAGAAAAAAGGAATTTGTTAAGAGTGTAAAAGGGCACGGATGTGTTCCTCAAGATCTAACCACCACTTTTCCATGTTCATGTATTTCTCATTCCTTAAAATAGACCAGCCTGGGAGCATGGATGAAGAAGGACTGGCCTTATTGGAGCAGGAGCTTTTCCAAACTAAGACCCGGATTAACAGCCAACTGAGGCCCTTGATTACAGAGCTGGAGGAGAGGGCACGTCGACAGAAGGGTCACCTGCACTTCCTGGAGACGAGCATAGATGGAATTCTGGCAGATGTGAAGAACTTGGAGAACATCAGGGACAACCTGCCCCCAGGCTGCTACAACACACAGACTCTGGAGCAGCAGTGAAGCTGAACCTGACTGAGCTTCTTGGGATGCAGGCCTCAGGGACCAGGGCGCCATTGTGTGTGTGTGTGGGGTGGGGGATGGGGGCATTGGGACATGCTTGATGGATGCGCTCAGGTCAACTGAACCTGACCCCATCCCTGAGATCATGCTGCCCCCCCCCGCCCCGATGTCTTACTGTACCAGCTCAGTACTGTTTGCTTCCTGAAACTTTGGGGCAATGAGGCAGATGGCATGGGGTGTGAGACTGACGGAGGACCCGAGCACCCAAGAGTAGACTGGTTGGCAAGAAAAACTCACAGGCAGGTATTTGCCTCCCAACAGTCAGAAACAGAGTTCTGGGATCTGGACAAGTGCTGCTGGGTTGTAGTCCTCTTATGTGAGTAATGTGACTAAAAGTAATAGTTCTTACTTCTTCCAAGCATTCAGAATTCTTCCTGATGTCCAAACAAAGTAACGTCCAATCACACTATGGCCAGTAAAATCCTGTTGCTTCCTATTGTCCACTGCAGGCTTCCTTATGACAGAGTGCCTCCCACTTACTACCCTTCCATGAGGGTGTGCTCCACCGGGAAGCTAGATGTGAGCAGGAATGGACTGAGGGCCCGGAAGCATGGCCTGGTCCATTGGCAGCAGTGGTGCTAGTTGATGACTGTCACCTTTGTGCTTTGAGCCCAGGAGTTACCCTTTCTCATAATAATGTCATGGCATCTTGGAAATAGTATTTTTAGTAAAGCATTTTTTTTACCAGCAAATCAAATATTGCAAAGGTATTTATGTTTGGGTTTCAAAGTGATAGAGAAAATATCACTTGGGCATTGAATGAGGCAAAATTATATATATATATCTATATATATATATAGATATATATATATAAAAGATTCATTAGTTTCAATTCAATCCCACTTTTCAAACACTAAAAATTATATCATTATCTCTCTCCATGTAGCAGAAGATGTCCCCAGCCACACTTGAGCTGGGGAGAATCCATCCTTCCACCCATGCTTCCAACAGACATTTACTGAGTCTCTATTGTGTAGCAGGGCAGACAGTGCAGAAGTGCCCTTGTGTTGGTGACTGTCTGGTCAGGAAGACCAACATTAAAAACATAATAAATTTAAGCTTAACGAATTTGTTCATCATGAGGTGGAGTTACTCCAATTACCCTTTGCTTTGCAGCCTATTTTTATTAACAGAACATGTGTTGCAAGAGAGTCCCGGGGGGAGCTTGAGTTCAGACAAAGCTGACCTAGCTCTGGATTGTACACACTTCTCTGCATTCCAGCTGCCCCTTCTCCCCTGCCACAGTGGATTGCAACAGACTGTTGAGTCATGGTCACCAGTGGGGATTGATGGAGGGACCAGAGGCACTTTCTCCTCGGCTTGGAACTTTCTTGCTGCCTCACTTCTTTATTTACTTGGCTTTTCATGGACATGTTTTTAAATAAAGAATGATTATTAGATGCCTGGGGTCACGTTCAGATTTTCACTAAACTCTAAGATGAAAGTACAAAAACAATGGAAATGAAAAATGCTGCTGCTAGAATGTCAGTGGGTCCTAGAGAGGACTGGAGATGCTGGGTTCCATTCCCAGCACTGATGAAAGAAAAAGGCGGGGGGAGAGAGAGAGAGAGAGAGAGAGAGAGAGAGAGAGAGAGAGAGAGAGAGACAGAGATTAAGAGTTAGCATCTTTGTTTCCTATTTCTGAGTTTCTTACTTTGTCCTTTCAAACCATAAGAGTTAGAAATGCTTTATAAGAAATTATAGCTGATGCTGTGTCTTAAGCATAAAGAATATTTCTAGACGAACCCAAGTTGGACTGAGAGTATAATTAGCATTCTTTCATCATATGAAATAAAGGTAGGATCAATAGTTGGTTGTGCCTATGTGATACTTAATTAATAAGTTAAAATTAAATAAAGCAAAATCTTGAACTGGCCCAAGGGATTGAGGAAAAGATTCTGTTCTTGTCCACATTGACCCCCCAAATTCTTTTTTTTTTTTCATTTATGTATTGTGGTACAGGGTCTCACTACACAGCTCAGACTCAGTGATCCTCCTGTTTTGAACCTCATTAGCATTGGGATAATAGGCATGTGCCACCACGCCCAGACTCTGACCCCCAAAATTCTGATAGATAGGATCACCTTTTCCTTTTTGTAGAAGTGACTTTATAACTGTCCTGGCATATTAAGTCACATATCTTATTTATTTCCTGTTGTAATTAAATACTGTCCAGAAAAATGCATATATATTAATTAAAGTACATTCTATATCACAAAGTCCTTAAAATATACTGTAAATTAAACACACAGACTGATTTTTTTTTTGTCCCTTAATAGACTGGGTGGAAAGCAGGCTGACAGTGTGGCCCTCACAACATTATTTTGGAGGTACTGCCATTTGTAACAAGTGCTTTCTAAGGTCATATGTGGTGGGAGAGAGGATGGAAGAACATGGAGGATGGAAGCACCATGAGAGGTCTTTGTGGTCAGGTCTAGGAGGTGTTATGTATCATTTTTAAAAAACCCATCATTATGATCACATTAAAGTTGAAAGGGGTCTGGAACTCATCTTTACCACCAAGCTCCTTGGTGGAAGGAAACAGGCTTTGTTGGTTATCGACCGTCTCTGCTAAGCATGGGATTAGATAGTACATATTATAGGGAATCTGGTGAGGAATCAGATTCCCTATAATATGTACTAATTAGCCAAGAAGCTTGGTATATACAATTATGAAAGGATTCCTCAATGGGATTGACAAGAAAAATCATAAGGACATCCTTCTTGATGGGTAGAACATGAGCCTATCACAAGTTGGAGAGGAATGGGAAATGGCTCTTGGTACTTCTTAGAAATGGAAAACATTTCCTTATTTCTAAGGACTTGACAAATTAAACCTGAGAAAAAGGAAGATGATGAGGCGTAGAGGTAGCTTACAAAGACCTACCTCCTGGCTGCCAGTCTTGACATGACCCTGCTAACTTAAGGGGCTTTCCTTCTGGTGACTTGTCACTATCTATATTGACAATGTTCTCATATTTCTCCTCTCAAAGTTTTCTGATTGATATGTTGCTGGCATGCGGTTACACACGACATCATCTTTGACTCACAGTAGAGAAGAACAGAGTAGAAATGAAACTGCTCATAGACTATTGTGTTTTAGCAGCTGTAGTTCTCATTTTATCCCCAGATGTGGTTTCTTTCTAGTATTCTTTGGAAGCTAGAGAAAACGGAAGAAGGTAGTACTGTTCAGTGTCTGGGACAAGTCTCACGGACCAGGAATACATTTATTATGTCTTCTTTTAATGTTTTGTATGACCATGGGAATGTTATAGATTCTTGCTGTAGTTTGATTTTCCCACTTGGAAAACAGAGTAGAATTGTTTTCCACTTTATACTATTGGCCACATGGAACTTTCTAGGAAATCCCAAGATCTGACGCTTATTTGTGGGCCATAGGAAAAAAATGTGTGTGCTTGTGAATATTAATTTATATTTAGTATGTATGTTTTTAATGTTAGTGTAAGTTAGCAAATTAAGCCAGTGTTTATATTTAATTTTAAACACACTTTCATTACTATGCACTCTCGGGACAGAAAAAAGCAGTGTTAGCTTTGTGAACAAAATAACAACACAAACTCAGGTGATAAATTTACAAGGCACATTATTACGATATACCACAAAACCCATGAGGATGAGCACAAAGCTGGCTAATTTAATTTTAAGGTGAGAAAAATCTTAAGAACCAAAACAATTAAGAAAAGAAAAACTCGTATCTACTCCAATAAACAAATATCTAACCCTACAACTATCTTACTCTTTAATGACTGACCTAATAGAAAGTACAAAAAGAAAAAAAGTACTACTTTATTTTCTGAATCCTAAGGTAACAGGGTTACCTAAGGGCTAATGAAAACCATTGTCTAGGCCTAAACTAGGGCAGGACATATGTTATTACTAAAGATGAAACAAGAATAATTTCAGTAGGATTGAACAATTAGCATGCCATTGATTTTTGCTCATTTGTGTTGCAAAACAAATTGTGAGTTTAACAATTTCTTTCTCAAGATCTTCCATACCAAAAAGTTATGTAAATTGTTGTTTAGCAAACATAGTTTTATTTAATGAAGTATTAATTTCAATAATGACCCAAAGTTTACCAAGGTTAGATGGGGTGGGCTAGTCTGGACCTAAGATTTAATATTTATAAACTGGGAAAATGTAGATTCTACTGAAAAATTTGCTAGTTTTCCCTTTGTAGTACTTAGGAATGGTTGTATATTGTTCTATATTACACGTGTGGCATCCACTGAACCAGGCAGGAAATCTCTCATCAGGTATATTTTTACACCTGTTATTTCCTATTGAACCCACCGAGAAGGATCAGAGACACAAGACTGGTAGCATTGTCTTATTTATTAACATAATTGAAACATTCTGCTGATAAAACTCTTGTCCATGACTATTCTAGCAACAAAATTTTGCTCAAAATATTTCACTGTGAAATGGCATTGCAACTCGAAAGTAGTTTTTATTCATGAATTGATTTCCATAACACAAACTTTACTCTTAAAATGGTAGAGTAGATGACAAAAAAAATGACTCCAAAAATGTTTCCTCCTTTCTGTGCCAACCTGAGGGGCCAGGAAGCTCAAGTTGAGCTGGAGCACTGGGCCCAAGGACTCGACCAAAAGTGGAGGGAAAGAGCTGTAACTCATTTCTAACTAACTGGAACAGACTATAAGACACTCCAAACTTACACTACACATGAGGAATTGAGTTGACTGGGCAGCTACAGAAAGGTGCAGACTGGATGAATTTGGCAGAGCACATTCATCATCACCAAGATGCTACTTCTAAGGTGTCCTAAGTGTCTGAGCTACAAAATCAGTCCCTGTGTCCATCCTTCCCATCTCACCTGTTGACTCCCCCACTGTTTCCTTGGGAGAGATCCTGAGCATTTTGCACTCTATGGTTTTATTTTTGCATTACTTTTTTGATGAATAAAATATACATAATGATATGCTTCTCTCTTTCGTCCCCCAAAAGTGTGTGCATGTATCAGTTTGGGGATAGCAGATGTGGGCGGTAGTACAAGTTTCTCCCTGTAATTCTCAGCTTTTTGCTGTAGTTTGACCATTGAATCTTACTTTCAACTTAATTTGAATAGCTAGTTCTTGAATTCTTTCTGAGTTGCTGGAGCTTGAGACTAGAGCCTGTTAGGGAAAAGTTAGCCAGGCAGAGACAGGAAGGCCTGTCTCAAGAAGCTCGAACTCTGGTTTCAGGCACTTCAGTAAGAGACTTTCTTCCCTGATCCCATGGACAGTCAAGGAAAATGAAAGCTAGAAGGCCCAGAGGCTACCTAGGGTTGGGGTGTATGTTACTGAGGTACCTGCTAGCAGCAGTGCAGAGTCCCCTGAAGGTCATTCCATGAGGACAGCGTCACCCATACAAAAGGATTTCTTTCCTCCTGGCTGTTCTGACATCAGCCACTTTCAGAAAAATGGAAAAGACCTTTTCTATTGGTTGCAAGAAATGAGGTTCCAGGTCTTTCTTGACAGGATTATTCTAGTTCTTGCTTTCTTACCTGGCTCAGCCAAGCTGGTCTAGGTCTGCCCTTGTCTGAGCATGACCCGAGAATAGTAGTGCCTAGAGTCTATCCTGTTGGCACCTGGGGCACCACCTAAAAACTCTGAACCGTCTTTCTAGCAGTGGCCCCAGCTAGGTCACAGCCCATGTCCTGCCCTGAACTCTGAAAGGTACCCTGACCTTCCTCCAGCAAAGGCAGCATTAATAGACGATACTGGGGAATGGGAGTCCTACCTGGAAGGGAAT